ATAATAGGACCTTGATGCACGTCTTTTTTTTTTCGGATCAAGTTCGAAATGGCCGACTGGCGGCCATTTTGTTAAAGAATTCAGTTCTGGATCCGTATCCAAGACATGTCTGGATTGATCAAGTTCAAAATTCACACACACATGGTACATCATGTCACAAATAGATATGTGCATTTGTTTCATGATCTGCTTAACAATAGCGGAATGATGGCCATTTTAAGGCCGAAAATGCATCAAAATCACGTATTTTCACAATTCCAGAACCGGATCTCAGTCATGCATGGATGGATTTTGTTCAGATTTAGCACAATGTGTTGTACATATGCAGGTGCATTTCGGTCATGATCTGCTTTGAATGTATATGTCACTCAAATATGAACGGAACGGGAACGTGTCATTGACAATGACTTGTTTTCTCTTATTATTATTTACTTATTTTTTGTTTTATATCATTTCTAGTGGAATAAATTTTATTCAGTGTTCATTCCTTGTGGTGTATACATATGTAAAGTACAAAATGGAAGCACATCGTACATATATCATAACCGTTGCATTAATATATATATATTTTTTATAAGAAGTAGTTCTCTCAAGTGGTTTGATCAAAGAAGTTGATTCAATCTTATAATGTACATTTTATTTGTTTTTTAATATGGTTGTACTGAGAACTATTCAATAACAACATGTCATCTGCACGATTTAAATAATAAGGGAAAATTGAGGAAATAACTTATATTGTAATTTTTATGGTTTATTATCATAAAATAATAAATTTCTTAGATGACACTAAACCATAGCAATTTATGTAGCAATCTTGACAAAGTGACCTAGTTTGTGTGAAGAATTCATTTAATCTGATTAAGTCCGCTAACTTTACATGTTTAAATCAAACTAAACAGGATATTACCGTCTATAAATAAATATACATTGTAGGCTGACCAAGTTTAATAACATTACCTAGAAAACTAATCTAAATGCATCACTAATGTAATGAGATGTACTTATAAATATATATTTGTTTTTATATGTTTTTGGAGAAAAACGTATTTGATGTATGAAGATTTTCACTACTTCAGATTTCAGCATTTAGTAATTTGATGGTTTCGCAGGACAGAATCTGACTGAAGTCATTGTTGACTCTCCACTGACATTTTCACTCTACAAAAATGTTGTGATATTCTTTCCCAAACACACTACTATATACACATGGACATTGATACAGGGACATTGACACAGACATTGTCTAAGATTTGTTTCTTCACCTGAGATGGAAAATTCCACAATTCACTATTCTTTAATGTTGAGAGAATGTCAACACACAATTATTTGAGCAAATATTGAGTTGATACAAAACATTGAAAAATGAGTTTCTTTATTTTTTTCAGTTCTACAAGTAAGATAAAGCAAGTTCCGCTTCCAAGTGTTAGTCCTGCCAGCAAAGCTATTAGTTTGAGGTCAGGATCACCGTCACGTGGTATAAAATCAGTCTCAATATGTTCAGACAGATATATTCAATCACAGAGTAAACACTCTGGGTGGTAAGTATCTCATCTTTATTTCGGTCACTTCTGTATCAGAAAAACAGAATGCCAAATTTGATTTAATAGTGAATGACCAACTCAGATGTGTTCTTTTCATTTTTATTTGGAAGCCAGTACTGTACTAAATTTGTTTATTGTCGTTTGACAGATTTACATGTGGGTGCTCACCTTGTCACCAGGCTGTTTATATTGTTATATTTACTGTTACCTTGTTAGTAATGAAGTATTCTAATATTACTAATACTTGTCATAAATCATATTTTAATAATCCATTATCCAGTGAATTCAATTTTTTTGCTTATGTGTGTACTTCTATTAGAGATTCATTTCTATAGAACAAATACAGTATTTTCACTGAATTTACAGTAAAATATGACAGCGTTATGTTGGAATGCTTTTCAAAATACATTTTTATGAACATTGAAAGGCTGTCTATGTTTGAGGGAATACCGGTATGTTTATAATTGATATCAGAAGACCCTTTTGTATTCATGTACAATAATACTGAGTGTGGGACAATCAAGTGTCATAGCCGACAGGATTGATAACACTAGTCGGTCCTGTACATGGTTTATTTTTGTCCTCAAATGAAATTATACCCCGGTACTTGAATTGTATATGAATATATCTCTCTTTAAGGGACATTTGTTTAGTTCATTGCTTTCTCGACAAACTTTTGTATTATTTAGGACACACCGTTCTGCACATTCCGGCAGATGTCTAAGTGAGCAGCAAAGAAGATTTAGTACTGAAGAAAAGACGAAAGTGAAAAGCAAAGCATTAAAAAGAGCATCAGAGGTATGTGTTCCTTCTTAAAACTAATATAATTGTGTATTTTGGTTTCCATTTAGCTGTTACTATAATGACAACCATTAGCAATGAATCTACTATAAAATTACACACATGTCTATCACCAATCCTACCTCGATGCTTATGTCAGTGACTGCACAACTGGTGGCACAAATAAAAAGTTTGATTCCTGGTTTCAGTGATAAAAACAAGGATTTTGAGACTGTGAATCAAGATATGCATCTCTTCTGAGTTTAGAGAAACACAGTTATTTTAATACTGTATATTTAAATTTGTTTCAGATTATCCCCCATCGTGTAGATCGCATGTACTACATGTCTGGTGCCACTGTCCCAATTAAAAATAAATATCATGTGGACAATGAAGAATTGGAAAGACTTAAAGATTTAGCAAGATCTAGTAATACCACTGGTAGAGGTGTGAGAGCAAGGTAATTATTAAGCCCTTATTTCCACTCTAATTGAACAGATTATGGTTCTACTTTTTTCGTATTGAGAAATTAAGCGTTCTTAAAGAGTTAACTGACCAGTTGGAATTAGTGTTATTTTTTTTTTATAAAAATTATGAGACAGTCACAGCCACAATGAATTCAATATTTATTATATTCTAATGTAGGAATCTGAAAGCAATATGTGTGCACCCGGATGAGAATTATCTGAAATATAGCTTACTTAAAGGACCCAGTGTAGTGCAGATAGAATTAAGTGAGAGTCAGGCAGAGAACTTAAGGGATGAGTATATGCTAACTGAAGATAGTTCGGCAAGCAACTTAGCTAGAGGTCATCTTAAAATGAGGCAAAGCTTTCCCGGAAACTCCTACAAAAATCAAGACAGGGACTCCCAAGAGACTTTTATTGTATTTCAATTGTTTGGAGTTAAAAGGCATTAGTTACGTCACTCAAAAATGACACTCATGGTATCCTTCAAATCAGTTATTTTGGGGCATTATTTTGAAGTTTAGATTTTAGATTTTATTCAAGATTTAACATGTTCCAGAGTGTTATTTTTTATAATTAAACTGTTGATTAGTATCATAATTAGTGAATATACATAATTTCTTTTTTGTTTTTCACATATCAAATTTGCTCTATTAGGTTGATGTGCAATATTATTTTGACCATAGACACATCTGTGATTTGTATAAGTACATGTGCTACTAATAAAGAAAATACGGTAGTAGAAATACACATACATAATAATCCCTGGCTATCAGAATTTGCACAATACATTGACTGGTGATTTGCCTAATGAGTTTTGTCCTCATGTCAGGATAGAAAATGGCTTTTGTTCCTAAAAAAAAATAATAATAATGATATTGAGTAGAAATGTTAACCAGTCTATACATAATATTGAACAGAGCATACGGTACCTGTAGATTATTTAATCTCTTGTGGTGAGCTTGATTACCTGTATCCAGGGATAATATTATTATATATATCATTTGCATAAATAATTATCTTTTACGGTTAATGATGGCATGAGTTAGCAGGTCAGATTTCAGGTCAGTAGTCCATATGCATTGTAAAAGTTAAAGATGTTGATCAGTGCTTGGGTCAAAGTTCAAACTTTAAAAAGTAGTCTTTCTGTTAAATTCTTCACAGGACAGCAATAACACAGAGTAGTCAGATATCAATAAACATTGGAAATTAACACACCAGGGTTTTCAAAATTTTCAGTATATTTATTATATATCATCTTAAAATCAATATTATTTTTTAATTAAATTTTCATATTTAATAAGCCATGACAAGAATTTCTTAAGGATTCAATGCATTTTTAAAATGAATTATAATGCAATTAAATGAATTATAATAAATATAATAATAGAGTTCTAAAATATTTCATTTGTTCAAGGTTTCCAGGCATTTTGAGTCTATAATGCTTTGTTATGCAAAAAAAAATGGTTGGTTGGTGACATATGCTAGTTTTATATTTATAATTGGTGTTTTTACCTACCATTGGGTTGCTTCATATTTATTGTTATAATTGCTGTTTTAAAGTAATAAATTTCATTATATTCATTGCTAACCAAGTTCTCCTATATTTTTCTTTATTCCACCTCGCTCTTTCACCCACTCTTGATTTCATTTTTATCTATAACCTGGCTGTTATAATATTGACTTTGTATTCATTCTTTCCTCCGTTAACTTTACATCTTTATCTGTGTACCTTCCTGCCCCTCCATTCATTCTCATTCCTCCCTGTATCTCAATGTGTTCTTCTTGTGTGGCTCTCTGTGCTAAAAATTGCTGAGACAGAAACCAAACCAGGAAAGGTGATGAGTACATTGCAGACAGACGAGTGCAAGGATTGGAGGTGAGTTTTTATCATGTATTAGATGATTGTCCTATGTCTCTCAATGTCAAAAGATCAGTGTAGGGTAAAATACTTCATTTTTTCCGCCCCAGTGCATCCTATATCGCCTTCAAGTGATACTGATTGACCAATGAGAGCAAGCCATATGTATATATGTAATTAAAATAAAAAGCCTTCAAACAAACTACAACAAAATACCTGCTGTATGTTTTCAATTTCTTCAATCTGCCACACTATTGACAAAATTTAAATAAAAAAAATTGTCTGAGATGAGATGAATGAGCATTCTTTTTTTCTACCTTTTTTTTCTTACATTTTTTACAATGTTTGAGCAAAATAGTGACCAACCCTGTTTCAACTGATGAGTGGGCTGACCAGAAAAAAAAAAATTTGGGGTGCTTAACACATTTTAATCATTACCACATTTTCTCTACTTCAATAAAAGCTTTCAAAGCATACTTGCAAAGAAAAGACATTGGTATTCAAAACAATGGCTAAGTGTGATTCATAATTGGAATTAATTTTTTTTACATAATTTTTAAAACCAGCCGAGGCAGCTTGCCATTACAAATACTGATGCGTTAGATGGTGATGACACTTTGAGTGGTGGACACAGTACAGGTGGTGTCTTAGGGAAAGATAACAGTGAGAAGAGACCCGCTACTGGTAGTTCATGGAGCAGTGATACATCCGCTGTGGGTACAGGAAATAGAGTCAGATTCAAAGCTGCAGGACCCAGCAGTGCTAAAGCATCTATACCTGGTAATATAACCGGAGATGAACAAGACACTAATAATAAAGGTAATTTTACACTCTAGGAGTATCATGTATCCATTGTTGTGAATTGAATGAAAGTGTATCATCATTCCTGATATTTCTATCAATATTTATCAGCGTGTTTTGTGTGTGTTATAATAGATTGTGTCCATGTCAATAAGTTTGGTTTCCATGCTGGATTCGTTTTGAATTTTTAGCCAAAAAATTAAGTGCAATGAATGCAAGATAGTATTTGATTATTTATGGCTATTTTGCAAAAAACTGGAAATTTTCACTCAAAAGTTGACAGGTTTCTATAAATTTAGCCTGTCAAATCAAATTGAGTATCTGTCTAAAATGTGGAGTGCCTAAAATGACAAGTAGACAGGTGTCCAACTAAAAGCATGATTCTTATCATCATGTGGTATTTATTTTATGCCCCCCTGATAAGATAATCTCAAAGTAATCACCAAATATAAGTTGTTTCCTCTTCCTCCTTTGGTGCAAACAGGTATTTGTTTGTAGAAAAAACTATAACTGCCTTGGATGAGCGCCCTCTTGAGTTTATCTGTGTAATGATATTGTTTTTATCTTGCCTGCAATGAAAATGAAGACTAGATATTGTGATTACCATGTCTGTCATGTGGCATAGTCTTTTCATTCTGGACATGACAACCCACATTGATTTTATTTGCTTTCATATTTATTATATGTAATAATGAAATAATGAAGTCAAACATAATGAATGTGATTCTGAGTTGTTCTTCATTGTTTAATCTAATGTACTGGTATCAACCTGGGATCTTTGAATTGTCTATGCAACATAACGCTGTAGTTACTTTTACTAATACAAAAGCATGACCATAAACTGTAACCTGCTTTGCTTGAGGACTTGCCTAAAAGAAACCTGCTGCAACGAATTTGTTATTTATATTATGTTATTTATTGCAGCATCTTTTTGTTACTAAATGTATTTCAAAATGAATTTCTATACCCATGCAATTTTTTGTGAACCCCTGAAACTTATTCTCAGCTGATCGACTACTAACATCTGTATAATAAAAATAATTTTCATTTTACACCTATGTGATTATTATCTTTGGTTGTTCACCATTAAGTGTTCTTCAATAATATTGGATGCATTACCATTTCTCACAAAAATATCATTGAAAACTTGTTTAAAGTTTTTTCTGTAACCTAATAAGGCAGGTGTTGGTGATAATGTGAAATTTGATGTTGGAAGGACAATGAAAAAAAAAAAAGAATATAGCTACCTTTTTTTTTTCAACAGAACAATAGTTTTTCCTGGGGCATGCTGTAGCTTTATGTTGATCAAATTGGTTAATATTATTTTGTTAGATATAATCAAATCAGCCATTGGGACAAGGTTACAATAGTTTCACTATGTTTTTCAGATGTTGTTAACAAAGGAGATGAATCAAATTGTCAAACAGCGGAAGATAACCGGGATGGGTATGATAGCGGTGTAGAACCAGAGGTGAGATTTTATCATATGCCTGTATGCTGATTTTTGCTATGTACAAAGGTCCTAGTTGGGTCATGGCTATATGCACTTGGTGATGCTTGTCACATGGTTTGATGGTGTGAGTTGTTTGTTTACAGGGTGAGAGCAAAGAGCACCATGACAAAGACACAACACAAGGCAATGCTACTAATAGGTAATTACCACATACATACTCGCTTTGAAGTGATGAAGTCGTAATGTTGGCAAAATTTATTTGAAAGCTGTTTCAATTTTAAGTAACCTGGCCAAAAATCGAGGCATTTGTGAGTTAAGCTGGCATATTTTGCTATATATCAAGAAGTTATTATTATCTTCATTACAAATAATCATACATTGCTGTTTCAAATTCTGTTTGGCGTGTGTGCTAATAAACACAACATAAAAAGTATGTTAAATATTTGTAGTTAACTTGAATGCAGTGGTAACATGATAAATAGTTGTTCAAAAGGGAAGGACCTAATAGGTAGTTATGTAGGAAACAACTCAAGAGTCGAGTGTGCATCGTAGATCAATCTCAATGGCAAATGCGATGAACCTTGAATATAGATATTGCCCATCTTCGAAAACCGATTGACTTGAAGACACCCTAAGATGCTGCAAACTCAATCACAAATGAATCTATGGAAATGCTCAGCAATTTTCGGCTAATAATAAATTTCTGACACAGATATTTTGCAAATACTGTAACAGTTGTGCATATATTAAATCACGTATATTACTGCACATGCCAACAGTTTCAAACACAATTTTGCTGACAATGCACCCTTCATAGATAATGATACACATGCAATCCATCAGGATATATGTTCTCACTTTGTCACAATATTACTAATTATTATAAATTTTTATTTTAAATTACAGTGAAGCGGCTGAGAAGAAAGATGAGTATGTATCTGTTTATTTTGTGTGATTCGTATTTGTTTTAAAATTTGTCTGCATTTAATAATATTGTGGACCAAAACAAACTATGTGTATATTTACTTGCCTGGCTCATTTGAGTTTTTTTTTTTTTTCATATACTAAACCGTTATATTGCAGTCGAACTCTTGAAAACACCTCCATATGTAGAGCTAGATATCAAGCCAAAGAATGCGTCCTATTTTTCATTCTCATTTTGATTTGAAGATTCATTATTTATTCAAGAAATCATCTTTGTATTTTTTACAGTGCATTTATGACAGAGTGTCGAGAAGATGACAAAGAGACGACGAAACAAGTAGAAACCACTGATGATTGCAATAATGAAACTACAGAAAGATGAAATTCATTTTGCTTTTAATGGCTGATTGCTGCTTATTTTGTTGTTGTTGAATTTCACGTAGGTTATTTTGTTTTCTGTGTAGGAGGTACTATAAAATGGAAAAAATGGATTTGTTTTTTCTAACACATTGGCCGTTACTTAGACTTATAGAAAGAGTATGCTCTGTGTCATTGTGTTAAAAAAATAATTATTTTTCCTGTCATACTTTTTTTCCTGTCAGTTGCAGCAAAACTGACTTTCTATTCTGCAGGAAATCATAATATTTTTCATCTCATACAACTTCACTGTATTCTGTCCCAATCTTTTGTTTGTATAATGCAGTATATTCTTCAAAAAATGTGGATTTAGTTTTTTTGCTCGATTAGAAGCATAGCTTCAATCAGGTCTCATAAAAGCCAAAAATGGTTGTTTGTATGAGAATTTTGTAACAGCTCTCATGTAACCATATGCTTTTAATAGAGCTAATACTGACCATGTACATAGTTTCATTTTACTGAATTGGATTTAAAGTGTACAGAAAGCCATCAGAATATTTTACCAATATTTGACAAAAAAATCATTTACCAATTCTCAGGAGTTTCTATAATTCAAGATTGATAAAAGTTGGTTTGTGTTCCTGAACACTTAAATAAACAAAAGTTGATTTATTTGAACTATAGATGGCGCTGTTTATGCTGAGAGGCATCATGACATGGTTTTTATAATTACCAAGTTTACATACATCTTGTGATATTTAATTTTGTAAATAAGTAAATAATTGTTAGCTAATAGAGTACATATTTTTATACATAATTTTGTTGTGGTTTATTATCACAAAACATATATGCAAAGGCTGTTTCCATGCGAATTAAATGTGGTGTTACATGGTGTGACAAAGCCAAAATATATTTTATCATTGTGTCAATTTTATCCTTGTTGAATATTGTGATGTAAATAGTTGACAAGAATTGATCTCCTTCTCAGCATGTTTTGTTTTTTATCGGTTTGTGCATTATTAGTATGTACAAATATACACTGACATTTGTTGACATAGTTGCCATGGAGCTTGCATCAAATTTGAATAGCAATGTATTTTACATATGTCGTACATCATACATGATGTGGCACGAATACTACAGTGCTTTAATTCCTAAACTCTGATGATTTGGGCTGTCAAGCTGTGTATGTTTATATATTGTACAAATAATTTTAGGCATATGGGATTCAAATGAAAGCATGTAACGATCGCCAGAAACTTGAAAATGCAGACATCAACAGTTTTTGTTTTGAAACTCATCAGGCATTCTTCTTAGAGAAGAAATATTTTTAAAACTAAATTTGATTATATACTTACTCAATATTGAGTTATATTTCTGTAGTAGTGTTTTAAAAAATTTTAAATTAATTTTTATATCTACCAATACTTTGACATTTTATTTCATGACTTTCAAAATATGCAATATTTTTTTTTATTCATAGATTTTAGGATTTTTTTTCTCTGCCATGTGTTTTTATATGAATACAGGTGTAGGTGGTAATTTTATACTGCAATATTTCTTGCTGAGATTGTAGAGTTTGGCTGGCAGAAAATACTTGTCAGTTACCACTGTATTATACTTTACCGGTAAATGTGGAAAGAGTGGGTGGAATGAAAAGGTTGGAATGACAGGCTAACAGTCAATGTAATCTTACTGTGTTTACCTGTGAATAAGATACTTTTATATTTTCTACTTCTATGTCTTCTTGTAATATATTTCCAATAAATGTAAGAAAGTAATAAGAAAGTTTTTTTGTTTGTTTTTTCAAATCTTTCAATATGCTTTTCAGTTTTTAAATGGATATAACAAATATTGGACTGGTCTTCAATACTGCCCTCTATAGTCTGAACTTGCTAATTCTAATTCTTACCCTGAAAATGCGTGTCCATGCTTGAGGACACACATTGATGTCAACATTATTATTGCACAAACTCAAATTTGTATTTCATTCTGTTTTAAATTTAGTATAATATTACATACTGCTTCTACATGACTGAACAAATAGAAAACTGGGAAAGTGCATGAGGCTTTGCCTGCTACAATGTATTTGGAGGCAGTAAAAACGACCTTCTACCTGCATTTTATTTGCATCTATTTATATTTCATGCATTTTTTTTTGTCTCTATAACACCGAAGTAATTATCTGTGCACATACATCACATTTGATCACATTTTATGATGCTATCAAATTCACTCGTTTTTAGGTCATGTAGATTTCGGCAGCTTACAGTATTCAAAGAACCTAGTCATTCTGTAGTAAAAAAACGGGGAGTGGACCATTTGAAAATTAGGGAGACGGGTTCTGGAGAAAATCAATGAATTCCATTTTTTATGCCTACCAATATGGCAACAAACTATTATTCTCAACAACCATTCGATTTGTTTTCTTTATTTGGAGAGTGATTAAAGTGAGTGATTTTTTGCCAATGGGTTTTTTTTTTTTCATTTTGAAACTGTCACCGCTGATGTATATGCACAGCAATTGCGAGATATTTTTTGTGAACCAACATTATCTGACATTTTTCCACATTTCTTGAACCACTAGTCCTCTTTTTTTTTTTCTTTTTTTTTATGGGTTAGTACATGAGCCAGGTGTGGTCACCGTGACAAGTACCGGGGTACCAATAGGACTGTGTTATAGCCAATTTGTAAAGTTTAGATTCCAATTTGAAAAGCTATTTTTAATCCTGTAGATTTCAATTTAGAAATCAAAAATAGAAACTCTATAGCTAGCTGTTCAGATGATCTAAATTATAAAGTACTGAGCTATTTAGAAACAAGGTTTCAAATTTTCATCGACAATTTAACAAGCTATTTATAAACTTTGATATTTCCCGTAGTTCGAAGTTTGGTTAACTGATAATTAAAATTTGAGTTACTAAAATTGAACGTTGAATGTATGTTGCCCGTAACTCAAAGTTTGGTTAACTGTTATTAAAAATTCGAATTAGAATTTGGGCGTGGTTTCTGAAATATGGTAATTTTTGTAACTCGATGTCCGTAACTGGAACAATTCAGCATCTGCATAACTGCTAACCAATTGACAAAGTCGATTCACGATCTCATGGGCGACAAAACAAAAACTATCGTGGTGAATATCCATTTCTGAAATGTACACGTATTAGAAACAACGCGAGAAAGTGTGGACTTACACACGGTTACTGGTAACCGTGGTTTACAGGACTAATTGCGCAGCAAGAACAATGGGTCACAGGCAGTACTATATACTAGTATAAACAGAAGAATTTGCGGTCGTAATTCGCGGCGATGGTTGTTGCCTTGCTTTGTAAAATTGTCCCTTCATCAACACACTTCTTTGATATTCAAAAGTTATCATAAAGATGTATACTTTCAAATTAGCCCACTCATAACACGTAATTATAAAATTATAACGCAATATGAAAGAGACTTTGCTATCAGAACAGAAAACACGTCAAACAAACCCTGGTTTAAAAAAAAAATAAGTACTAAAAAAAGAATATGTTATTACATAGAATTTGCCTTGTTTATTACATATGTGTGTCTCTCTTCAATTGTAGCATTATATTACTAACGAGTATACCCATAGCCATCAATGCATTTCACCGTGACTGAATTACTTTGCTGCCGTTCATGCCGCACTCGACACGTTCAGGCAATGTTTGAAGGGGGAGACTGGGGAAAAACATATAATGCTCTCAGATAAAAGAGACCCAACAAATGTATAAGAATGCAATTCACCTTTTTTATATATCACTTTTTATTCTCTAGATATTAAATTTTAAAGCATTATTATATAGTTCACTACCTGGATTCTCCAGCAAAGGATTATGGGTAAAGTATGAAATCACTGTTGTGCCTGAGAATTTGAAAAAATGGTTTCTTCTATAGCGTAGGAAGTGCTGATGCGAATTAGTTAAAATGTTAGTGTGCATATTAAGCGTGTATATAATTATAATAATGAAAATTAGAATGTTACAAAGACACAAAATGTGAAGATATTTCCAAAGAAGAAAGTTAAATAAAATCGTTATTTTGATCGTTGGAAATAGAAAGACACTATTTTGTCCCATTTTTACGATCAACAGGTTAAATATAACCCGTATATACTACTCTCATCAATAAATTGTACAAAATATACGAGAAATTAAGTATTTTGTTGAAAATTGTAAAAGTAAGTATTTTCGGTTATGTTGCCTTGAAAATAATTCTATGTATATGGCTGGTATTGGTACACTTGTTCATGTCCCAAACTTTCAACCAATTTGAAGGTCGACTTTTGAAGTTCTATTTTTAATTGATCAGAAACAATGGCTAGTAATACTTTAACAATCAATTTTTGCTGGCAATTTGATTAGCCGACTGCTGCAGCCGTGCAATCATCATAGTTACGGGTTATGCAAGTACATTTATCTCATTCAAGTTACAACTGTGGTACTGTACGTAACCCCTGACCTACATCTGTGCTGTTCTTGTTCCGATGTCATTCACCGCAACATGCTGTGCGTTAATCGAAAACATTGGCAGAGTTGAAACGATTTTATTCACACAGGGTAAGCGGGCACACTATTTAGCGTTTAGAGACTGGCTTGTCATCACAGATTCTAATTACACCAAACACAATCGTGTGCCCATATAAACATGTAATAATGGAAAACCGTGAATTTGCGCTGGTAACATCAGATGGGGATATAGCTCAGTGGTAGAGCATTCGACTGCAGATCGAGAGGTCCCTGGTTCGAACCCGGGTGTCCCCTCCAATTTTTCTTTTTTGTTGTGGAAATAAATATATCGTTCTTGTCGGATTAATCTCATTTCTTTTAATTCAGAAATGATGTATTATTAAACATTTTTACTAGGAAAGTATTTGTGTCATTCATGCATTATCGATTAATAAGGTCACGTGATATATTACTTTTATTTTATTTCCTGTTTTAATTGCGAGGACTTGTGTTTCTGACAAGTACCCGTTATAAAAGTCATATGATAATGTGAATACTAGTATTACTACATTGGCCGCGCTAGTATTATTCTATATCGCAGAATCGCAGAGTGCCCGTGAGTCCCACGACCTACATTTAGAGCATCTGGGTCAATGACACAGATATACAAGCGTTAGCCATAATATTATGTCCATGATTTACCACAGCAGTCAACCCAGTAAGGCGTATTAAATACCAAGAGTCAACGCTTGAATGAACTCATATTGTGATTGCACAATGAGAATGAGTTTTCGCTTGAGTGCCGATTTTACCGCATATAGCAATGACAAAATTTTGTGTTAAAATTTATCTAAAATTATTCATTTCAAGTATTAGTCAACAGTATGTGTACTTTTTTTTTTGTTTCACTGACAATCTGTTTTTTGGGAAAACGGTAAAATAATATGCAAAATGGTATTTTAGCAGCGGTTTCCATAGACCACTGAAAACACATTTCCTTTTTAAAAACCCACAAAAATATTGTCAATTGTTTAGTACTTTTAGATATCAAAAATCACCTTGTAAGACATATATTACTTTTTTCACCATATGTGACCGAGCAACATTTTAGATATTGGGATATAATCCTTGCCATAGGAAACAATGATAAACATACAAAACATGATATTTTCACTGTTACTATATTATTGATAGATTTTCTCTGAACTGAGTACGGTCACCCCGTATTTTTATTTCATTTTCTTCATCATTGTAACATGCCGTGGTATATCAAACATGCAAAAATAAAGAAAATGACAATAAATTAATTTTGCAGCATATATAAGGTAGAAGCCTACTCACTACAATGTTCATTGGTTTATTATGTAAAATCATGAAGTCAATGTTACGTGGCACCATGAAATAGCATTCTTGTGTGTGTTAGAGTGACGTATTTTGAAAAACTAATAATTGTCAAAAATCGCTTTTTATAGAACAATTCCGTAGAGCACAATGTTTAAAGAAAAAAATGCATTTTTTGACTCTTTTTAAAAACCCAGATTTAAAAAAAAAATTGAGGACAACAATATAATCAGTCTATGTCACCAGACTGCAGTACGAGATATGGCATAATATCTCTGCCATATGAACCTATGGTAAAAGCGTTATACTACTGCCAAAATGGTCACCATCCACTAAAATTCAACCATCATTTTCTCAAAAATTAAGCTGCTGACCTTTTTTGAATTGCCCAGAAGTACAATTTATTTGAAAATGAATATATTCTGGGTCAGTATTTGCATTCACGAGTAGGCTTCTACCTTAACTAAATTTATGTCCCAGGATCTGGAAATTTAGGCTAAATCGTTTCGCTTATGAATATGAAGATGATTCAATTCTTGGTATTCTTAGTGTATAAATACTAGAAAAGTAGAAAAGTACGAAGTGACATTGTTGATTGAGGGCGTGCTTTAGGGGCAAATTAGGTAAAGGGTCTATATTATCATGGCGGTAAAATAAAATAAACAATTTTACAACAACTTATTAAAAATCGAAACTATTGTGGTCATTGTCTGGTTCATGTATTGTATATTTCTTACAAAATGTTCGCAGTCTTTATAAAATCCAAGTTCACAAATTATAAAGTCTTTATAAAGTTCAAGTTAACAAATTGTTGTCATCCAACGAGTTACTATCCTATATAACGGGCTATCTATCGCCGCCCGCGACTAGTCAACGTATCCGAATTGTATAATTTCCAAAACATGACGTCGGAAAGGGTATGAATCTGCCACTCAACAAGAACAGCTGAACTCAGTGAAAGGCGAATTACTGTAAGGTTGTATTAATCCGCTATTCTGAAATAATTTAGTTTTCGTACAATTTTTCGAACATACTATAGTAATTTTATTTTACTGGCAGTCATATTTAACGGAATATTATAGAAAATATATTAAATGAACTGAATGCCAAGTTTAATGATGAGGTACTACTTGAGTGACCTGAGCAAGGATACAATTCAATCTTGGGTGTGAAACAGTATGACTATATACGATTTGACGTTCTTAAAATGTGGTGGTCTTTGTACCGGATAAAAACTTCAACCATGTGGCATTATAGTTAGCAGTATAAACATGTATTCCAGGAATAGACATCGTAGATACCCAAGTATCCTTCTCCCCATTGTACTATTGTTAATATGCAGGACTTTCGTCGATGCAGAGACTGCTAACGGAACGGGGACGACCGGTACCGATGAATCGGCAACAGTTTCCGACGAGGACTCTAGTTATTTGGGCCATGCTCAGGGACGTTATCCTATTGCTGACATAAACTGGCATCACGTAGAGACACCATATATGATATCGTTATGGGTTCTATTTGCAAGTTACGCGAAAATAGGTAAGTTGGTCACCTCGAAATACACCAATCACAAAACAGCTGTAAAGTTTGACGCCGGCGATCGTCTGATTTCTCTGTCGTTATCGCATATTAAGCCGATCCAAACCAGACGAAAAAAATAAATAGATAAATACAAAAACGTGAGAATTAACACAAAACTACGAAAGCAATATATAGTGACATTTATTGCAGTTATTTTTTTAAGAAATGAATATTTTTACTTAGATCGTCTGTCGTTTGTTTTGGAAAAATCCAATATGGCGGCCTCCTATGTTTTTTTCCGCCGCGTTTGAATGAGGTTTAATAATAACTTTTTGACTCATTGATTAACCTTCCACTGTGCGGCAGCACTGCATCAATGTACTCTATCTGATAATTCCCCTATCTGCGCGGCGTAGAATATTGATTGTTTGTATTGTGAAGACTGTTAATATATAAATAACATAGAATAACATAAGTAATGTTTATGTTATTATAGTATACATATTTCTGTTAAACTTTTTGAGCTAGTTCTTCATACTTTATGGCATTGGGCAATATTGGTGGATGCCCGGTCAAACACTGCCATTCACCCTGCTATAGAAAACTGAGGTGGATCTGGATGAACAGCAAATTGATGTGCACTAGTTTTAGGCCAACAAATGAACAAACAACAACTTTCAAAGCTTCTTATACAGTTCAACCATTTTGTTTTAAAGGATACTTGCCACGTTACTTTCAGGAAACCTTGGTCTGAGTGTATTAACTACAAAATGTGTTTCAGTTTCTCTCTACCATCTAATTGTTCAAGTAAAGTTTCCATGAAATGAAACATTTGTTGGAGTTCCAGGAAAAAATAAGTGTTCTACAAAACCTGATAGAAAAGCTTGTGAATTGTGGTAACTGGTTTGAATAGTGCAAGTTTTTTTGTGTGTGTGAAAACTATCGTTTAATGATAGCCCTTCCCAACAATAATATGGTAATTGTTAATATTCTTTGAAATCAAACCAATCTATTACATTTGAATTAATCCAACCTCATTCATATTCAATAACATGCTGTCATGCTATTGGTCAGAATGTACATTTGTAGTTTAAATGAAGTGCATGAAACTCTGTGCAAAGGTAAAACAATGAAGTGTCTTGCGTAAATTGCAAAGGGAATGCACAAAGGTTGTCGTCTTTACAGGTGGTTGTTAACTCAGGTTTGACTGTATTATATATTTAAAGATTTGCATATGGTTATATGCAATAATCAAAAACAACCCCTCATCGTATTGTCGGTGTCCTTTACACCGATCTAACGCATATCGCGCAAGGTGTGCTGGGAGTTTGTTTGAAATTTTAAACATTTTGGAGTCAATTGTCAATTGCCACATATTTTACGGATATATTACATTGTTTCATGGGCATGTTTACTAAAAAATGATCAATGAAACTTAGAAAACTTGTAAGAACAAACTGGGTCTAAATTACGCAAATTTGCAAGAAGTTTATGCTGCTAGTGTCTGGTTTCGAAGGAGTTCTACGCATGATTTTATCACATTCAAGGACGTTCTATTTTCGAACTAGTTGAAACTGGAAATTATCCAAGTACTTTCGAACTTCGACTCAATGCCCCTCATCGCCTATAAATCAGCACCATCAGTCATACATGTATGATAGCTTAGTAACTGGAGAAACCACAACTTGTCTATTATACTTGCTCTCTTTTTCTCGACTTCTGACCTATAAAATTCTTTCAGTTTCTGTTAAATTTGACAGCTCAGCTAGTGTACAGTACTTGTATCTTGGACGGGTGGAGGTGACAATAATCTTGATAACAAGATTCAAGTTCCTTGATAACATTCCATACTTTTTAAACTGAAAATACAAATATTAAGAACAAAAAACAAATTGTGTGTATATTTTCAATAACGATTTGTGAGTGTGCAACTTATGGCACATTGCCAAGTATTTTGTCCCAGAATATAGTAACACCTGCTGTCCCCATATCTAGCTCAGTAAGTAGATTGTGAAGTGGTGAGATTATTCTATTTATCTCCTTGCTTTAATTTTCCTTTGTGTATTCTGTACAAGATACTGTTATAGTTTTACAATATTATGATTGGCGAAGAGTGACATTGCATGAAAACCACTTTTACTCCCCTACGTGAAATGATAACGCAACAAAATTTCTTATTATTCCTGACTGAAAATTTAAGAACTTAAATGAAAATAGTTTACAGTAATCTAGACACTCTAGATTTGTCTTTTGTTTTCAATTGAAATTTTATGAGTATATTTCCCATTTACTTCATTCAAACAATGTTAAAAGAATACATAATATTATTATAGAATATTTTATTCATCAAATTATACACTGAGCTTTCACTAAGAATAAAATGTTTCAGCCATGACGGTTAATACTACATATTTCTCAGCTAATTACCAACTTGTTTTAGACTTTTGCAAACCTTGTGCAGATGGCTTCATGTGAAAACATGTGCTTGTACATATTTTATGCAATATGTTTTTCTGATGTATAATTTACCCTTTTAATTGATGACTATTTCCTAATAATATTTCATCGTTTGAAAACTAGCGAAACCTAGTTAGCGAAACAAAAAATTTAGAAAACAAAGGATTTTTGCATTTTAGCAAGTTAGAGTACTGGTTAGAGTATAGGGAAAAGGCAGAATTTATCAGAAAAATCATAATTTATGTTTTGTTTTATTATTAATCAATATATAAAATAAAATTATAAATACAGATTGTTATTTGTGTATTGTGATTGGTTGCAATGTGGTCGTGAGACTGTGAGGTAGATCTGTGTTCTGTGATATCTGTCTTAGAGAAGAATGCTGACCCATTTGAGATATCTTTTCCTATGCTAATAGTCACATTTCATCCTTGGTTAACTAAACATTTATCTTTGTGATGATTTATTTCTAGTACACATATGATAAGTGCAATGTAAGGTTTACTGATAAAGATCACACAATTCTGATTTAAACCTCATCAATAGAGCTTAGTATGTTTCGTGAATATGATCTACAACTAAACTGGAAAGTTATTTTTATTATTTTGCTAATGGATTTATAGTGAATAGGCATTTTTGTTATTTTGATTCTGGAATTGGTATGTGAATACACATTTCAAGCAGAGAGAATTTTAAAAACAAGGTCACCTTGTCTTTATTGACAGATCATCAGGATATCACACTATTCTTGATCTATATATGCTGAGTAGAAATGTAAACACAAAAGAGGGCTCATAATTTAGGTTTTATTCATTCGTCCATGCACTCTCATATCTCTGACATGCCTAAACCAATTTCATTGAAATTTCTTACATAGACTATTATGGGCTATAGGTGCATGTTAATTGTATGTTCATTCATTTAAATTAATAGAGTGTTTTACTTAGGCAAAAATGGATTTGGGCATACTTGGATCAATTTTGTTTAAACCTAGTACAAAGGAATATTATAAATAGAATATATATTCTGCTGACATTTTATCGTGGTGGTTCATGCAGGTAGTGTTTGTTTAGACACAAAATATGGTCAGATCAAGAATAACTGTCGAACAGTGTCATAACTAGTGACTTTAATACTGATCTCAACAATTCTAATGAAAACACAGCCTTTAAGAAGTATAGATACATTAGTTATTTGATCAACCTACTCGTAATCTATCCAGGTGTGCTTGACCTGATTTTCATAAATCATGCAATGTATCATATTTTATGTACCAAGTTTATTTCATAGCTTTATTTAATTTTTTATGGTTTCACTGAACGTATAAGATTTTGTCTTTAAACATGAGCAATAACATGCATTGACTCTATTTCACTCCACTGTCTAATTTCTGTCTATTTTATTCATGGATCTATTCAAGTATCAAGGGAAATGCGTAAATTGAATACAACTTATTTGATCTTGGTGATAGATGTCTGATGTGACATGTTTTGTTAATAATTGTATGAGTAATATTTATAGTGTGATTACCATAATAAATCATTAGCCAGCCCAAACCCTAAATGGTCAATTTTTATCATCTTTCACAAAATAAACCTGCTTAATTTTTCCATATTTTTCAAACATTTTGTTAAAATCTGTAGCCAATGGAAAATTATGTTCATTTGAACCAAAATTAAATAAACAATGATAGAAATATACTTAAAAAAGTGCAAAATATTTTGGTGAGAAAAATTATAGTGTTCAATCTACATTTTTCATTGATTATAATTCACTAAATACTGATTGTTAGTTGATGCTACAAGCTCTGAACACGTCTTAAAAATGTAATTCATAAACAATAATCTTCAAATACTTTATATAATAATTTTTAGTTATTGGTTCATTTTGTATTTTTGTCTGTATCCCTTGTGATTGATTCAGCACAATAAACAAAATCAGGGTCTGTGTGCAGATAATTGGGGAGAGCTTGATGATCCTAAAACAGAAGAAACAAACAATTCTTAAGAATGAACTTAAAGAGTAGAGTTGATAGTTTATCTGTAAAGCAAATAACTTGGGGAGGGGGGGGGGGTTATTGTAACATCAATAAACCAGTTCATAGAACATTGACCACTGTAAATTATATTATTGTTTTGTCTATAATTAGAAGCATGTTATGTTGATGTTCTACCATATGGTTTTAGGTCAAAATTAGCAGTAACCAATGGTACACAGACGACCAATTCGTATTCTAGGGCTACCATTTTTCATTTCAATTTCCAAAAAAGTGACATTTTTGTTATCACATTAACCAACATGTGTTGTGGGTGTCCTACAAAAATAGAGCAATGTGACATTTATTAGTCCCCGTTTGGACAAAGTCCGAAAACGGGGACTTATAATTCGATCTCTGTCCG